TGAACTCCATAGAAATATGATTCATGAATTTGGGAAGGGTCTCTAAAATACTGACAGTATGCTATGTTGCCATACAGTTCTATTTTCTTTGTGTCTTCAGCATCACAGTTCATGCATACCATTAGGTTATTATTAATGTATGATTCATGCAGGGCATTTTATTTACTCTAATAAAGATAACAACATGCATGCTGTTCTTGCAAACCATCAAAGCTTGTGCAATAGCAGAAAATGAAATATGTTTTTGAACACATTTTCTAGACACACAGCAGGCAGCAGGCTGCTTTTTTTCTATGTTCTTATTCTTATTGTTCGTAAGTAAAAATAAGTATTCGTACAGGCAAGAGTCACCTATTAGATGACACATGCCCTGCATGTAAGTGCCCAGCTGAGTTTGCTGTTGGTTAAAGAGAGCAGAGAGGCATATGGGTTTAGATACTGCACTTCTGGTCAATATCACCCACATTTTTATTTTTTATTTTGGCTGTTCTACTGTTGTTGCTATTCGTATTCTATTGGGGTCATTTAAATTGAGATTTTTTTTCTGTAAGTCTCAATGTTTTATACCACATACTATGTAACTGATCACGTGTAAGTTCTGGATTATCATTTATTACTGTGTAATTTATTTAAGTTAGTATTTCTTTATGTAGATTTTCTGTAAGCTTGAATTTTTTTTAGCACACCAGACAGACAAAATGGCAAAATCTTGGCTTTCGTGTGGGATCAATATCACAGAAACTATGCCTAAACTACAACTCAGACCTAAGCTGACAGCCTTTCCTGGACCAGATTAGTTTGCCAGCATAAGCTGTCATCTGACCATTCAAAGGTGGCAGCTGGTAGTCTTCTTGTGCTTCTCACTCAGTACTGCAGAGTCCTAATAAATTAAATCATTATTTAATTACCTTTAACAGACTCTGGATGATGTGAGAGCTACAATTGTGCCTATTTTTCCAGAACTTCTGTACCTTTTACACTGAGCGCAATATATTGAATCTTTCCAGAAAATTCTACTTTTTATCTAAGTAACTCTGTAATTTTATTCAGATGTGCATACTATGTACTGTATATAGCATCAGCAATGACTGCAGACAGTCCTGGCTTCTGATTGGTTTAAATGCATTAGAAGCTGGGATGCCCCAGTAGCTCATCTGGTGAAGTAGGAATGAACAGGGACAGGTAGTCCCTGCTGCAGTGGTCATGGATCAGTTCCGACCCATGGCAACATCTGCTGCATGTCAGGCCCATGACTCTTCTCTTGCTTTTTAATTCCACGACAATAAAGGCTCAAATGTCAAAAAAAATCTTTAAAAAGCATAACAAGCTGTTATAATGCTTTGTTACAGTCTTTATTATTATTATTATTATTATTACTAAAGGAGCGAAGATTTTTAAGGAAGAGTTTGAAACCTAGAACCTTAATTCTGAAGTTTCATTGAAGCATACAAACCATTCACTCACCACACATATTGTCACTGTTTTTTTCTGAACAATAGCTTTTATTGAAGACGTTTGTGAAGTAGTTTAATCAGTACCTTATGTACAATGAATCAAAAATAGGTTGATTATTATCATTGTCATCACACCAGCTTGCATGGATACATATTATCATTGGACAATATATACTGTAAGTTTGAATGACAGCAATGGTATCAATTTAGACACAATCTCCAAACAGGCAATGGCAATAAGAACAACAGCCTGTCCTGGTGTGCACCTTCCTATAGCTTCAGAGAAAGTTTAATGCAATGTAATGTCACTAAAAATGTTCAAACTCAATCTGTGAGGCTAAACTGATGTTAATGGACCAAGAAGAAATCTAAATTTGTCTTTATTTCTGCAAATTATATATGAACATGTGGAATCAGTGTTGCCTCTCTTAAAGATAATCCAATGATCTCCATGGAAACTGGATGTTGTTTTGGGATTTATTGATCATATGATATATAACATAAATGTGTATGTTAACATTACTATATAAAGAGATGCTTCCAGCTTCATGCCTGTGTATAAAGTACAAAGACAGGCTGGGATTAGCTTGGGTTTGCATAACACTCGAAGCAGAGGGAAACAGCTAGCCTGGCTCTGTTCCAAGTGTCTGGATAACAGCAACCACATGTGAGATATTATGGCTTTACTTTTACACAGTGGGATGAAGTTGTGATGTTTTGTCCATCTGTATAAATATTCAAATTTACCCATCAAACAGTTGGGAGGCAATGAAACCAGTGGGGTACTACCTAAAAGTACAGCTGACTCCTATTCAAAAAAGCATCACTGTCTCCTCTGAGTAAACCCAGAAGAAAATTGGACAGCTCAAAGCCTCCTCCTTTTAGCTCAGGAGACAAAATTGTGATTCTCATTTCAGCCTCATTTTATTTTTTTTCTCTTAAAACTCACAAATTCACCAGAAATAGGTTACGCAGGAGGAGGACAACAATTAGCAACAGGAGTTTATAAAATAGAAATGGAAATGTTGTCTCTGAAGAGCAAGCTTTGAGCCGTAACGTTTTCCTCTGGGAAGCATGGGAATAAACAACGGTTTGTCTCCAGACATGCACTTCTACTGTGTATGTGGTTCAGGAGTTGCACTAACAAGAGCTTCACAGGATGCTGTCGTGCAGTATTCCTGACAGTTTAATTTCTGTACTTGATTACAGTATCTGGCCTGTTAAGTAAAGTATCGAATGTTAGTGAGCTTTTAGTGAGCCAGTGTTGCTTTATTCTGAAGTGTATGTTTCACCAAACAGCTCGCACATGTGTGTATCCTCAAAATGGTCATAAGTAATACAATGTTTATTTAATTTCATGATACATTTAATTTATGTTTTGTTTCACTTACTACTTTAGAAAGACAGAGCAAGAGAGACAGAAAGAGACATAACCAAATGTAACTTCCTGCTTTGAATTTCTGCTATGGCTGTATAGAACACATGTAGCCTCCACTTTCTCATTTATGAACATGCAATCGCTAAAACGATACCAAACGTAACGGTTCATGTCTGTGGCATATTCAGATCTAGGCATTGAAACCATAGTGAAGGTGTCAGTTATGCGATGGTATGATGTTGTTTTAACTATGAACAGATCTTTTAGCTGTCTGTTTTTACCACATCATTGTTTACATAGATGCCAACATGATAATGTTTGAACAGTAAAGACTGAATCGGAATATCAAGAAATAAAATGACAGATATCAACAATCATTCTGACTACATGTAGTTACATGGCGACATGTCAGAGTTTTGATTCCAGATATCCATAACGTCACTCTGACCAGTCAAGAGGACAGTGACAGAATCTGTAATTCAGTTTGGAAGAGTCTTAGTAATAGTTGTAGACATCTCCAACATCATTATGACTAGTCTGAATTGTTGTCATGGTGCTGCTCATGTGAGGCTTCCAGCAGAAGTAAAGCCGACCTCTGTAGTGGATAAAAAAATGTCAGAAAATACAGTGAAACGGTGAGAACTTATCAGATAGGAGGTTTCAGAGAATGAGAGCTTCCTTCATTCAAGACTTGTCGTTAAAATTTACTACAACTATAACTTCAGGCCGAAATGATGTTAAAAAAGGCTTGTCATGTGCTTTTACACTCGTACCACCTCTCCCTCCCTCTTACTGCAGTAACTACTGATATATGCAACATCATTTTGCCGACTCAAACTCTATTTCAAGGTAAGTTGAATCACATTTTGGCTTTGCACAAATCCAGTTCATGACATCCGCAACATCATGATGATGATAAGTTTACTGAAGATATCTTAAAAGGACAATATAGATATCTTGCATTGAGGAGAATTAAAGACACATCGATGTGCTGATATCTGGAATGTTTGTTGAGGATACACATATCTGCAGTGCTAGAAACGATTTGCCATAGGCACAAGCTTAACTGTGAAGACCCACCAGACCCAATCCGTGAAAACTGCCAAAGTTCGCACACTAACAGTTAACTTGTTTATTAGTATACATCATGTAGAGAAGAAACCATTAAAGTTTTTCAACAGTTTAGGTGACTCTGCCCCAGGCTGAGAAATAGCAGTCCCAGAAAGCATCATAATGATCTTCTCCTCTGCAGAAATTTTCCACACTAAATAGCTACATAAACTCTTCCACCATTTTCAGATTTTCAGCAAGTCACTACAGAAACGTCTTCAACTTCCATGCTTGGCATAAGGCTGAAGTATTATGTGTCTAGAAATAGTAACATCCATAAAACTGCTAAATTCTGCTTTTAAGGTTTTATTTTTGTACTAAGAGATGCACCATGTTTTATTGAGCTTCAGAGGTGCTGGTGGGTGTGTTTGAGCTTATAACACATAGCGGCTAGCTGTTTCGTCTGATTCCAGTCTTTATGCTAAGCTAGGTTAGCATCACTCTGACTTCACCTCCATGCTGAATATACAGACAAGAGAATGGTCAATCTGAACATATTTTAGCAAGATATTTCTTCAAGGGCCTTTAAATTAAGGCACATTCTGATTTTTTTTTCTCTCTCAGAAGGTTCATCAGTTCAAAGAGCAACAGTTTTGGGCATACTCAGATAAAAGCTAATACTGCTGTTTTCTGTGACATTTAATCCTAAGATCTTAATATACATCCCATAAGCATTATTCTTTTGATGGTGGCAGAAGACATAGTGTATAATGTACATAACACAACCTAACATCTGTGGTTATATGCTTTTAATGGCACTAGCTTTGCACTGATTCCTTCTGCTTTCTGAGATGGTGTTTCCACTGAAAGTTCTCAGGATGCGAGCACAGGATTAAAAACTGTACAAGTTTGATGCTGCTGGACCTGTTACTGTTGAAGAGCTAGAAAAATAATCCGGTTGGCCCAGGTTTTCCAGGAGTGCTGATGTGTCCTCTGTTGGGTAAATAAAGGGAGGCTCATATTCAGTGTACAGAGAACATTGTGAGGGGTGTCGAGGGAGTCACCGAAGGAGTGAGTGTGAGGGACATTGAAAAGGCCAGCGGTCGTCTTAGCTGTCCATTCTGAAACACACACACACGCGGGCGACTTCAGATCGAAACCTCGTATTCTCTTGTTTCCTGTGAAGAGAATAAAACATTCAGTTACAGAGGTAGTTGCCAAATGTTTTCTCAACCCACAACCCAGCTCGGTACATCTGGGGATTTAACTCATAGTGAAACTCTTGTTGTAAGGTAGATTCTACACTGGCACAAAGTAGCAGCACAGTATGATACACCGATGATGTCAGAGGTCATAGACGATGATATTCTATGTACAAGAAATGGTACACTGGTATAAATGATAAAACAAGTGTTATTCTACATTGTTACTGAGGTGGAGAAAGTACTCGTGTTCTCTAATACCAGGAGGAGTAAAAGTCAATGAAAATGGTTCCTAAGTAAAAGTATATAACTACGAAGAAGATGTACTTTAGAGTATTAAGTGTGATTTCTACATATTATACATTGCTACTAATCATGGAATAATGTGTACTTTGTTGAATCTTTAACAATTTTATACTGTTCATGATTATGAATCATTTCACTGAATGAGTAGATACTGATTTTTAACAAATCTTATTCAAACAGGAGAAAAAGGACCTTTGAGGGCATTAAGGAAGAAGATACCCCAGGCTCTGTGAAGCATCCCAGCATTTAAGATAGAACCAACTCACCTCATTATTCTTCAGGATTGCCAGCATGGAAGATAAAGAAAAAGCACAACTCAGGACATAGAAAGAATTTCATCAATTAAAATGATGCTGCACCCGACCAAAGAGTCAATATTTTGTTAGTAATTCCTGTTTCTTAATCACAGACACAAAGTTGTGGCTTCTGTTCAAATGGTTGCTATGAGGAAGCATCACCTTAAGATCCAAATATGATGTTTTCTAAACTTTCAGTGTGAAAACCTACAGTGGCCACAGCATCGAGCTGCAATCAAAGGTATGAAATACTGAGAGAAAATATGGAACTTTATATTTGTAAATTCATTCTGTTTCGGAGGCCAAAATTATAGTCTCAACAGTCTTTTCAGAGGATTTTATTTATCTAATGAGCCATTGCCTCTTTTTGTTGCTCTGACTTTTGGACCACGCACAGCAATGTTCTCGCGCCAAATCTTGAACAATTTGGAGAATTTCCACTGGAAGGCAGAGTTTCTGCCAGCAAAACGGGCTTCTTGCTGGCCACAAAGGCTTGACTATCAAATGGATACACTAAGAGATGTCCCAGGGCTGAATAACTCCTGTGGTTTGACCAAATAAACCAGCGAGGCTGCCCAGAGGGGAAATAACTGTGTTGGGCCACTACTGGTCCTACTAACCTTCATTCCCAATAAGTTTATTGCAAACCACACTCTGTTCTTTGCGCCATGTTTACTGTGTATCAGTTAGTCTGTTTCTAAGAAATAGGAAACATGTATCGAGGAATATATGCAACGCCAGTCCAGTATAAACTAAAACAAGGTAACTAAATGTGATCCCAGAGCCAGCCCTGACCTGACTCTAACCCCGTTTTGTACTTCAGTGGTGAAAATACACGTATCAGACAACATATTTTCATGTAAGCAAATGTCAGAAAACAATTTGAATGAATGCTGCAGCCAGAGCTTTGACAGGAACCAATAAAAGAGATCATATTTCTCCAGTATTAGCTTCTCTCCATTGGCTTCCTGTAAAATCAAGGATCCAATTTAAAATCCTGCTTCTAACATATAAAAGTCTTCATGATCAGGCTCCATCGTATCTTAAAGACCTTATTGTTCCATATTATCCTAACAGAGCGCTTCGCTCTCAGACTGCAGGTCTACTGGTGGTTCCCAGAGTTTCTAGAAGCAGAATGGGAGGCAGAGCCTTCAGTTATCAGGCTCCTGTCTTATGGAATCAGCTCCCAGTTTGTGTTCGGGAGGCGGACACCCTCTCTACCTTTAAGATTAGGTTAAAAACGTTCCTGTTTAATAAAGCTCATAGTTAGGGCTGCTCGGAGTCATCTGAGCTGTCCCTTAGTGATGCTGCTATAGGTTTAGACTGCCGGGGGATTCCCATGATGCACTGGGCTTCTCTCCTCTCCTCTCCTCTTTATATATATGTGTCTGTATGTATATGTTTATATAGCTGTATATCACCATTACATACGACTAACTCTGTGACTCCCCCCGAGGTTCTCCTGCGCCTGCTCTCTCTGTGGATGTCTCTGGATCTGGAGCTCCTGAATTACAGCCACTGGCCTCACCCTTCTGTATCCTGCTGCCCCACCATGATGCCTCCTGTTACCTCCACCGACTACGGAATGGAATATTTCATTGGTCCATTTGAAATGGAGGAACTAAAGGACAATAACTTCTAATAACTGTTTTAACTGTACACTACATTGTATAATTCATCCTACATCCACCCAACCGGTCGAGGCAAATGGCCGTCCCTCCCTGAGCCTGGTTCTGTCGGAGGTTTTTTTCCCCTGTGGGGGTTTTCGGTTCCTTCCCACTGTTGCAGACTGCTTGCGGACTGCTGAAGCTTATAGGGAATCCAAATGTTTTGGATTGTTGGGTGTTTCTGCCTTTGTGAAGCGCTATGAGATGACTTGTTGTTGTAAATATGCGCTATACAAATAAAATTGAATTGAATTGAAAATACATGTATTAAATAACTTATTTTCATTTTTTTGTGCAAAAACAATTCTGATACCACTCCCACATAGCAACTCTACTATTACTGTTTAGCAGAGTAGTCCAATAAAGTAAAAATGTCATATGACTACAGAAATTGCAGGAAGCAGTCTAGAAAAACTGTCCACAGCTCCAAGAGTCAGAAAAATGAGGAGTTGATATTAGATTGAAGTGCATAAACCTTTTGGAGGCTGCGGTTTATGGTGCTGTCATTCTGTTTAGAATTATCTGGTCTCCTTCATTTATATGAATTGAGAGGATAAAACAGTATAAACACCTGTCAGTTTAATGCAACATCACCACAAACTGCAGCCTCCAAAAATGATCATCAACACCTCAGTGAAACATTTGAACAAATTCTGAACTTTAGAATCTTCATGGAGTTGCAATGTATTGCAGGTTGACTCACCGTTGTCTCATAGACGGAGCTGTCAAATGTAGATTCTCCAGTAATGTTTTCATATGGAACGTTGGAGGATAGGGAGAGTTGCTGTGGTTTCCTCTGAGCCCTGAGCACAGACACAGAAAGCACATATTCTTGAAAAAGAAGTGCAAAAAAATGCTTGTACAGTACAATGCAGGAAGGCTTAAAGCCGTTGTCACTTTGAAATAATGGCACCAGCATTTATGTAGTGAAAGCATTTGTGGACTCCACATTCGATACTCTTTGCCATGCTGCATGTTCTGGTCAGGTCTCATTTTGACCTTCTATTTGTCACCATTGTGTTCTGAAATCCTGATCCTAATCCGCTGACAGTTATTTTTAGAATGCAGTCGGTATTTTCAGCTAAATGTAGTTACATTTGCCTCTCTTTGAGTTCATCCCCTTCAGATGGAAGCTGTCCAAATCCCCTCTTTTGTCCAAGACATCAGACAATAATGTTATTAAAAGATCACATGCATAGTGCAAAAGTCTCAAGAGACATTCAGCAAAAACGTGGTGTCTATTTATTGAATACTTTCAAAGCCTGCTGTGTTCTCTGGAGAGGCTGTGGTACTCCACTGCTGAATCTGAGTTATTTTTTCACCATTGGATATCTGCACCTGCTGTGACCCTCAAATGCATGTCACTTTACAAACACTATTATTCTGGCAACCCATCACTTATATGAAGCAGATGAAGCTGTACGATACCATTACATTGCTTGTAACCCTTTTCAGAGCGTAGTAACAACAATAACAAACACACAAACAATCATTGCACAATCATTTCTAGTTGTGATCGTGTTTTTTTTAAAAGAGCATGAAAATTTCTCAGGCTAGGCTTATATATTAAATGTTTTCCATCCATTCATGTTTTAAGTGATTTCTTGTTTTGTTACTTCAGCATATAAAGAGTACATTTTCCTGTCTGAAAACAAGCTGCGATTTGAATTGTATTATAAAAGTTTAATAAGACAGTTGAGAAAATTATGATCTACAGTATTATACCAGGGGTTAAAAAAGTAGGTGACAGTTATTTATATTAAAATGTCAAGATATTTTCCCGTTAAGTCACTGGTTATTTGAACGTACTTTGAGAAGTGGAGGTAGATCCCAATGATGATGATGAGGAGGAGGGTGACAGGGATGAAGGTAGCAAATGCTACTTGGACTCCCTCCATCCGTAGGTGAGCCGTAGATACTACAAAAGAAAATAAGATGGCTGTTAGATACAATATTTATGGACTCAAGCAGGTTTACTTTTCTTCCTTGCAGCAGCTACACCATGAAGGTCTGATTTATAGTCTCCACCCAACACTTGATATTAAGATGTATCTGCGACTTGAACTCCAGGAAGCACTGATGTGAGTTCTAATCTGAGCTGCTGTTAATTCCTGAAGCTGCAAACACTAATGAACTTCTCTGCAGTACAGAGAACTTTCTTCTCCTGAGGCGGTCCTCCTCGCGACAACCAGTTTCATCACAGGGATCAGTGGCTTTTGTGGCTACATTTAAGGAACTTTGTCAAAGTTCTGGAAATGTTCTGAACCGTGTGACCTTTATGTCTATGTTCTCTTTACTTAGCTGAGTGGTTCTTGCTATAATACGGATTATGATGGTAGTTGAAGAAAACTATTTGCTGTTTACCAACACGACCTGAGCACAAAACAAGTGATGGCTTCCAACACATCAAGAAAGCAAGAAATTCCACCTGTTAATTTTTGACATGGTTCACATGTTAACTTAAAGTGTTGTAGGTGGCACCTCATGAGGCTGGTTCATACATCACCAACAGTGTGCAAAACGGTAATCAAAGCAAACAGTGGCTACTCTGTCAGATAAAAAGTACTACTTTCATGTTCATTACATAATTCCATGTGTTGTTTCACAATTTTGATGTTTTAAATTTTGCTCTACATAGTAGAATTTAGCAGAAATAGAGAAATACCTCTGAATGAGCAGGTGTGACTGGTCTTGTATCAATTTTAACATTAGATTTTTTCTTTTTTTCTTTTCTTTTTTTTTTTTTTTTACATGACCCTTAGGGGAATTCCACTCTGATGCTCTCTATTTTAAATGGACATAATACGTTAGGGTTGCTTCTTGCAACTCCTTTTCATTTGGCATTTATGAGACACTTTTCTTTCAGCAGCAACATGGGAAATATCAGCAGCACAAAACATTCCTTTAAAATCCCCTGTGCTCACGGAGACTCAGAGTGTGCAGATATAATTAACTTCTTGGCAAAACTTACCGTCTAATCTGTGCCCATCATACTCTGCTGGGTGGGCTGGGGAGAATACAGAGAGAGGGAGGACGTGTTAGATATGGGGAGTAGGCTGGATAAAGCAAAAAGGTGAAAAAAGAAAGAAGGAATATAGTTCTTTCAAGCTCATTTAAAACATTTTTAAAAAGGGAATCACACACTAATATACTTTGGTTTGTAATTTTAGAGTTAATGTTACTAATTGCTAATGTTACTCAAGCTGATGTAATGCAGGTCGTTAGCACTTTGGTCGCTCCAGGAGATAAGATGCTGCAGATGCTCAGTGTGTGAGGGCAAAACCCACATGCAAGACATTGTTATCCTATTTATGATTCAAATACTGAAGATGTTGTCCATGTGTGATGATAATGTAACAAACAACAGACACAGGTAAGATGTGTTTTCAGTGTTACTACTGTCTTTTACCTTGTTTTGGTAGTTACTTTAATGATTAGATAGACCACTTGGTACCACTTGTAACTCTCCTTATTCAAACAAACCTTATATGACTGAAAATTATTTAGACTAGTGAACGGATCACAGTAAAAGAATATTCAGCTGTGATGATGCTCAGGATTCAGCTGAACAACAAATGGTTGTTGACTGTAGCTTATAAGCTGTGACTGTGTGCGACTGTACAAATGTTTGATGTAAAAAAAAAAAAAAACAAAAACAAAAAAAACTATGTAATGAATCCTGATTAGTCAGATGTATAAATAAAAGTACTTATTGAAGTTTCTTGGACACCTTATTTACATTTTTGCAAACGTTCAGTGAATGAACCTGACTTATCGGATTTGGCTGCAGTGGTGACAGATTGAAGTTTAAAGGCACATTGACAGACACTGCTGTACATTATTGATTGCAATGCATTGTGGCTGCACTGTAAGAACGCAGCTGGAGTCAGTCAAGTTAACAAACAGTCAACCTAATAAGTGTGTGCATTAGTATCCTGGAAATGAGTTTTGTTGTTTTTGTTTTTTAGTATCTGGGTTATCTGCTGTACATGTAAACACTATATCTTGGTTTCAGGCCCCTGGACAATGTCTTGTCATCGTTTTAGAAAGATGCTTCCTGGAGGACTCAGAAAGTAGCATACTGCAGCATCAAAATACCGGATCCAAATATTCTTTGTAGGTGTTGCTGATAAATAAAGACAGTACTGTACACAGACGAGAAACCTGGAGTTTCATGTGTAATCAGAACTGGGACACTGGCAAACATGTACATGCACGAATGGCTAGAAATTCTAGGGTGCAACCTATGTCAGTAATGCTAAAATTAATAAAAACTGATACCTAAAACTGTAATGCATGTGGTGGACATTTTCGCTTTCAGTCCTTCCCTACTTCCTGAGTCACCAATAACACTGTTACCAGGCTGACCAGAGACAGAACAGCCATTTAAAAATGACCAGCTGGCTGTCCAACTGGCTGGATTTGTGACACAGTGAAACAAATGCACATGCTCAGGAATGAGTCACAGCATCACAGATTCACTCCATCACTTCAGGGATGTACAGCAGCCGGACTGGGACACCGTCGAGAAACCTCTGGTACAAAAACATATTTGACTGGACACCTTCGGTCCGGTTGGCTGTCCAATGTGTCCTTACTGCACCCCGTGTCCCTGAGGTGCCTCAATCAGGGAGCAAACTAAAGTTCGCAGTTTTCTGTTATTTTAGCCTCTAGACTGGAACAACCTTCTTCAAAGTGTCAGGACAACAAAATCTATTAAATCCAAACAACACTTTTCCTCTCCGGCCTTTCGCTGTGTGTAATGTGTTTCTCCTGCTCTTCTGAAACATGCTCAGTCATTCTTTGTTTAGTACGTATCCTGTTCTGTAAGCTGTCTTTCAAGCTGTCAAAGTCTTGTGGTGGAGGCACTAAGTAGGAGGTTTCTGTGACTTCCAGACCAGAACGTGTAAATTTGTTGTTTTTTTGTTTTAAAGATTTTGTTTATATGTTCTTATGTACATTAAATTTTTCCAGAACATGACAAAGCACACTGTGATTTTGTGTGGCTGCTCATTTTCCTGAATCTGAATGTAGGTGGAAAGCACAAAGTTTAGCACGACCCACAAAGACACAACAGCTGTAATAATAGTATGAAATACAGCAGGTCGAAATGAACTGAAACTCTCATTTAACATGTGATATATCGAGCGAAAACCATGAGCTCATCTCTGTGCCCTGTACTGTTGAGGTGAGTGACCACCCCTCTGTGCCTCGTTGAGTCATTGGTGTGTCTGTATTTACAGAGCCACTTAGGATATAACTGAAAGACGAAAAGATGTGACGTTTATCCTAAGATTACAGGACACATGCAGTATGTGCTGTGTGTCCCCAGTGTACAGGGAGATGGAAAGCTCTTGTGTTTTCTGCTGCAGACTTGTGACAGCTTACAGATGGAAATCAAGTTAATCATTGTTCATAAACTGAATAGCTGGTTGCTGTAAACCAAGTGGTGAATGATTGCTTTAACAACTGTCTCTGTTTTGAGTCCATTTTAATTTTCTTTACCTAAAAAAAACTGGCAATTGTCTGTTGATTTCAGTTTTGTTGTTTTTGCGCATTTGATATGATATTGCCCTGGCCTGGTCTCCCCTGAGAAAGAGGTTAAAGGAAGTTAAATAAGGACTAATAATCATAGCATTTAGCTATTGAAATATTAACCAAGAAGTGGCATATCTTTGTCAAAAGTCTGTACTCCATTACACTGACAGCAGTGAAGGATTTAAATAGGAACATTGGTAATTTTAAAATAAAACTGTTTGCTCCATATAGAGTAAAAGGTAGGCTTGCATGGTGTAGAAAGTATAGAGAGAAGTGCTCTTACTTGTGTCATTATGTACGGCAAGACCTCATACTAGCACCTTTGAGAGCAGAGCCCTTCATAAAAGAAATGAAATAAAATAAATGGTCTGTTATGAAAAGTTGAGGCCAAGAAGCTCACTGCTGTGCATCAGCTGTCTGAGAACAAGTGGTAGGGCACAGGGGACAGCTGAGGACACACACTGACCGAGATGAAATGTTTATGCCAATCCCATTCAGCAAAAGCTGATGCGTGCAAGAGATGGCATGAGCACCCCAGACCCCCCGGGTCACAGGGCTGGTTACTCTAACCATGACTTTACACGTTTCATATCGGCAATCCATTGTGTAAATGTAGATAATAAAACAAATGAACCCACAGAATCTGAAACATTAACACCAACAATAAACTCTACTCAGTATTACACAATGTAATGTCAACGTTTTCTTTCATTTGAAGTGTTGTTTTTTTAAAAGATTATTTTTTATTTGAGTAACTGTGGAAGCAAAGAATCAAATAAGCAAATATATATATAATATATTATAAATATATTATATCTTGAGGTGTCAGATTTAACAACTATTAACTGAAATCACTATCTATTTACATGGTTTGAATGTAGGTCTTTTAAAGAGACTCATTTTAAGTTCATTTACCTGTTGGATTCCAAAAGTCCCAAAATGATTTTAAGCAGATGCATGCTGCTATTTGAATTCAAATGTTAAGCATTCTGCATTACAGGCATTCATTTGTTTGTAAAATTCATTATATATTAAATATATCATGACCCCTTTTTGCTTATTAATATTTTTATTCAAAACTGTGATTTTCATGAAACACCCTTTAGTCAAATAAATGATGTACCAGATGCAACCAGCACATTTTCCATTTGCATTTAGTATCATTTATAGATTTAAAAAAAAGATCATCTTTTTTTTAAGAGGCAGACTTTTAAAGAACCTTGAGCACTGTATAACCGAAGCTGACTTGATAATGTAGAAAGAACATGAAGCTGCAGTTCCCCACCTTTGCAGACAGGTGGCAGCCCACTCCACTGGGATGGGTGTCCAGGGACACAGTGGAGAACAGGATCACCCAGGAGCTGGTGGCCAGTCAGGCAGGAGTAGTGCAGGGTCTCTCCAGCCTGGAAGTGGAGCTTGTTGGAGCTTGGGATCCCATAGTTGGGGGTTCCTGGGTGACTGCAGGGCTCGAAGGTCTCAGCTGGAGATAATTGGAGGATACATACTGTCTGTATTGGAACTATAATCCATAACAGGTCATATATCTTCACAAATTTTTTTGGAGGATGGTGCAGCTCAGACGGCCATCAAAATAGACTGGATACTTCTGCAGAGAAGGACTCCATCTTTCTTGTTGCATTGCCACCAGGCTAAAGATGTGAATTTATATGCAGGATATGTGAAAATGATAAGATGTGGTGGACACCTTCGTCCTCAGAGAATAACCAGGAGCTCAAAAAAGGGACAATAAGATTTTCAGCTTGTGAAATGATGTCCAGCAATAATTTCAAATACTGTGCTTGTACATCACTTCATTGTAAACAGCTTTGTGATTGTACACTGTAACTTCAGTGTCCTACAAACTGAGTAGGACACTGAAAGCATCACAAATCAATGTCCGCATACACTGACTGATCAGTGGATGGTAAGTTGCAAAAAAATTGTTGGTCACTGTGCTGGGCCTTGCCAACATGTGGTCAAAATACAAATGTATCTGAGTGAAAACTGACTATATACAAATCAGTTCAAGATGCAGATGCCTTCCCCTTATTGTATTATAGTTATTGAGAAAATACTAAAACAATGACAAAAGCTGTATAACCTACATTCATACACTTCTGCAGTAGCCTGAGAATAAATGAAAAAAAAACTACCTCAACCAAGATTACCAAAGTAAAATGACTCAAATATATAAATTAAAAATTAATGACAAAATGCATCCACATATTTAGTGAAACTAAACAGCAGGTTATGAATAAAGTGAAATTAGTGAAAACTAAGACTATGTCTGTTTTTGATTGAGAGCACCTGGAAAAACTGAACAAATATTTGTCTAATACATATAAATGGTTGACACTGAACGATGAGTTTTTTGAAAATATTATTTTAAACAATAACAGCTTTGAATAATTAATAGTGTTAAATAATGAACACATTTGAGCACAAGAGGACAAAAAACATTGGTAACCACTGGCCTCCATGCCTGAAAAACCAAATACAATATATGACAGTTCAAACTCATATATTTTAGTCCTGCAAAATCACCATTGCTAATTATGAGGCTTCATGATTAAAACTGAAGTGCACTAGTCAGAATGTAGGTCTCAACTACAACAGCAATCAGCCTGGAAGAAAGAAAGAAATTGCATTAAGAATGAAACTGAAAAACAGTCCAACTTTCACATTATGGCACATCCTTGTCTGCAGGCCTTCATTTCTGAAACTGAAGAGTATTTCACGGAAGTACAGATTTCTTCTTTCTGACATAATAATTGTCTTTTGCTCGTGATCTTCATCTCATGCATAGCAAAGACCTGGCGTGTCTTCTCCTAAGTAATTTCCGCTGTCCAGTTAAATTAATTATTAGTTAGCGCCAGCATACTGTATGTCTCCACCTCGAACGCAGGTGAGGCAGAGGATGAGACGCTAATGCAAATGAAGTTAATGCCTTCAAGGCTGTTTGAAGAGGAAATTATATTTTAATCAGACTGCACTGATGCACTTTTAGCTCGCTGGCTTTGTCAGAAACAAAGGACAGCTAAAAACTTCTCTATCACAATACTGCTCCTTACCATTGCTACTACTGCTACTCTTACTACTACTACTACTACTACTACTACTACTACTACTACTACTACTGCTACTACTACTAATAATAATAATAATAATAATAAAATGGTACTCCATTGCACTGTAGACAAAAGAGAACTGAAACTAAACAAGCGTGTGCTGTATTTGTCTCCCCGCCAGATGGCGTCCTGTCTGTGGAGTTGAAGCGTGAGGAGCACAGCAGCATCTAACTGGACCAAAGTGACATTTGCAACTGTGCTTACATGCTGTTTTTATGAGGTTGCTAATTCACTACCTAACCAACACACTGATATTAGCGGTGCACTTTCCCACACTGAATGTTCTGCAGGACAAGACATATAGACGCGAGTTCATAAGAAGGACACTTAAGCAGCAAAGCTATTGTGAATTGTTGTTCAGAGTCGGTGGCTCTTGTGCCGTCTGCTCTGCCGACACTGACCTCGCTGCTTTACGCTGGATTTATTTGGCTGTCTCAAAATAAAATCTTCATCTCCACCAAGAGATACTTGAATGGTATTGTGATGGTTTACTCAGAGATGGGGGGTTGCCATCAGGAAAATGAAATCTAATCTAACATGGCAGATGTGCATGCTGGAGCAGACAGAGGAGTCGCTTTAACAGATGTAGGCCATCACGAGACACCAAAACCCTTCATTCAAAAGCAGGTTAAATAACTTCCTTATAATTAGCAGCTCTTCAAGGGAGAGAAAATGGTGTGATATATTAGTACCAAAGCCAGAATAAAAGTCTAAAGACCCTCTAGCGGCCCCAAGAGAGTACAATGTTAAGTATACCCCAATTTAAGGTTGGAAGGAATGAAGGGAAGGACGAATACACTGAAGAGTTCGTCCGCTTTTGTGAAGTTTAGCTTAAGGGTGCTAGTCGAAGAAAAGCAGTGGAAAAGGGAAACGGTTTATCTGGGAGTGGAAGATTTACTGCTTACAAAAATGATGTTCAGAAATAATGACACTGTAAAAAAAAACTCCACCGCCGATTGTCAAAGATGTTAAGAAGCAGAAAGAAACTCAATAAAACGTGTGCTTAAGTTACGTTAGCAGTGAGGTTACACAAAGAGTGAAGTAAATGTTTTTTGTGAACATCTAAGAGCAGATTTAAAGCAGCAAAATGTGTGCGACACAAGTGAAACACGCACACGCAGTTCAGTTACAATAAATAACTGACAAGGAGAGATGACTGATAGCAGCTGATCCTTATGTGTTTGTTTCTATTACAGGCAGCATCAGTACTCCAGCATTAAATGGCCTTTTCTGGTTTGTCTTATAACCTGATATGTGACGGCAAACCCGAGGGTACCATGATGAAACGTTTCAGCGATCGTAATCAAACATCAGTCACTCACCAAGACACAAGTCCTGCTCTCCACTGGTCGTCCTCATTACTAATTCATTTCTTATTGATAACCATTATTCCTTCTCGTCTGTTCCCGGTCTCTGTGACACTCAGCAGGCTCGTAACTATAAAACTGTGGTCTAGTGTATGTGCATGAATACACATTTTCAGTGTCTTTCGGTTGGCTGCTCTCCCTTTTGGGACGTCATGACAAAGTTGTGTTTTTTGAGGTGGATATAAAACCATTACAAAAATGTTTCTAAATGCTGTTTTAGTGCACATACAGACATAAAAAAAAAGTAATTTCTGCTTCATTTTCCTACACTTGAAATCACTCACATTGCCAAACTTGATGTTGCTCCTTAAAGAAAGTTCAATCCCTTCTACTTTACCACCTCCACATACCTGGTCAGTCACCACATAAAACTTGACTGCCTGTTTCAGTAAGTTACAAAGTCAAGAAACACTTCGGTACATACGCAGACATCTGGGCAGCTTCTGGTTCCACATGGGCCCTGAGGATCCTCGGTTGAAGCAGGTGAGCAGGCTGTTTCCAGACAGAGTGAAGCCCTTATCACAGATGTACTGGATGCTTGAACCCACGATGAAATGTGGACCTGACAGCACCCGCCTGCTGTGCTCCACCTTTCCAGGGTCAGCGCACGACACCACTGGACAGTCAGAGATAGACAGACAGAAGATTGGTTATTGTCAGCAAATATCTTCTGTCCTCCGAGTCTTCGCTTGTCTTTTTTTATTCACCTAGACAGAGAGGCATTGTTTAGCATCAGTAAACTGTACTTCCTAGTTGGTCCGTAATACTTGATAACAGAGAAACCTAAAGGTTTAAACAGATGAAGACGTTGATGAATTGCGTATTTAATCTGTCTTTGGAAACAAAGTGAACATTATTAGGAATGAAGTTCCAAGTCTCAGTTTTAATTTGAGGAGGTTTATGTCAATATAGAAAGAACCAATATAGTCTATCAGACACACTGAATGTTTAGAAACTCAAAAGTAATCAGACAGGTACAAAGTTAGGGTTTTCAAATCTTTACTTTTTATCATAAGATGTTATAAAGTTTGTCCTCTACAGGAGGCAACAAACATTCCCTTGTGCCTGAACTGTGTGTAGCTCAAAGACACAAGCGTTGACACAAGAGCGAGCTGGGGCCAAAAGTAAATGTAAGATGGATCAGAGTCTAAAAAATGAATAATAGGCTAAATTTTCATCATCCTACAGAAATGATATGTGCAGACATTCTGTCTGAGCAAGGTTGAATGAGCCCACAGAGGTGGGATTAAGAATTGAGCAGCAACTGTCCTGGCATACAGTCAGCCTGGTTGTAGGCCCCGCAGGAGGGCAAATAGGTAGGCCAGAAACAAAGGGTGGAAGTCATCTGTCCTGGAGCCAAGATTCCCGTCTGCTGCGATCATGCTGGTCACTGCCACAGAAGCATTGCTTGGTTTGGTGTGTGTGTGGTTGTCACTTTTTTCTAAATACCAGACACTTCACAATGTAGCTACAGCAAGCACTAAGATGAGAACTGTGACACTTATGACTCATCATTATTTTACATCTCCACCAAGGGAATACCTTTTAAACGTGCATGATAAAGACTTTTTTGAAGGGAGTTTATAGTGTACATCCATCCCATCCATTATCTATACACCGCTTAATCCTCACTAGGGTCGCGGGGGGGTTGGAGTCTATCCCAGCTGACTCAGGGTGAAGGCAGGGGACACCCTGGACAGGTCACCAGTCTATCACAGGGCCACACTGAGAGACAGACAACCAAGCACACTCACATTCACACCTACGGACAATTTAGAATCACCAATTAATCTCAACATGTTTTTGGACTGTGTGGGAGGAAGCCAGAGAACCTGGAGAGAACCCACGCTGCACGGGGAGAACATGCAAACTCCACGCAGAAAGATCCCGGCGGCAACCTTCTTGCTGCGAGGCAACAGTGCTACCAACTGCGCCACCCTGCAGCCCTTATAGTGTACATAACCCACAATAATATTAGATTTTTGGACAAAGCCCTGGATTCAAAACATCAGTTTTACTAGCTTTTTACTTTTCACCATCACTAAATTACTTTCCTGACATCTCAACAGACAGAAATATGCACTGACCGCATCATGAACATGCATTCTACCGTACATGATCCTTCTTTTATGAAGACTTTTAATTCAGTGACTTCTCAGTGGAGGGAAAAATTGAAAATTATGAAAATGATCAGGGTTGTTCAGTAATGCATGTAGTCGTTTTACTTGCCGTCTTTTCATCATATGTAATCAATCAGAAAGATAGGCAAGATTCCCATGTGTGTAAGTTGCGAGCATTTACATTCAACTCAAGATGGCAGCTTCCACTTACTGTGTGCTGCATCCTCGCCTTCATTACTGGACATTTTGTGTATATCTATCATTATCCGTATCTTTCAGATTTCATGACAATGGCCTTTAACATAAGAGTGTGGCTGACCTGAGATGTCTGTGTTGGCTTGCTTTTGCAGACACATTTATTGATCAAGATGTAATGTTTTAAAGCTTTCAGAGAAAATTGACTTTTTTGTCAGGATTATATTTTAGATGTTGACGTGGAGACAAATTGGAATATACAGCAGCTGCAATATAGAATGAATGCAGTTTAATGACAGCAAGGACATTCTCAGTAAATGTCACTGCCTCTCGTGGATAAGAGCACGATACACCTTTTTCACTGCAGGTTTTGTGTCCTGTAATCACTAGAAAATCACAAAACTATTGACAACTGCACTTTGGAAGGTTTTAGTGTTTTGTGTGCAGGGTTACTGAGTTGGTTTGCTAAGAAATGTAATTGAATTGATTCATCATTAATACATTAAATTCCAACTTTGGTATCAACTGGTTTTGATGTTATGACAAGTCAGAATGTGTGCTTTACAAATGTATGATGAATGCCGAGAATTTCATACCTTTGGATAATAAGACATCAAGACTTCAATGTCACAAGTACAAAGTCTACTGGACTGATACTCTGAAATTACTTTTCTTTTTATTTCGATAGTAATTAGTGTCTAACATGTTTTTCGTGATACAAAAAAATGTTGATTTTACTATTTAGAAATTAAAAAAAAAAAGATATATGCATGTCCTTGAAAAATCTAGAGACTATGAATATGCAAACACTTAATTTTCAAAGTTTAACTGTTAGATACACGATGTGTCCTACATCCCTGAAAATCCATTCTCCTTGTTTGTGTGATGCACACCTCAAGTTTCTCCATTGCACTTGTAAAAAGTCACCTTTTGGACCAGGACTTGAAACCAAACAAGTTGTAATGTCACAAATCCTGATGTAGGAGCACACCTTCAACGCAGATTTTAGGTGAACTCGGATAAACTTTACATTTCTTGCTAAAGAATTTCAAATCAGTTTCTTAATGTCAAACTACGAAACGACATCATTTTCCACAGTAAAGCTCAAACATTTAAGAGAAGGAGCAATGCCAAAATATATTTTGAAGAAGAGTGGGACTTTAACCAGTTAATCATTATTAGCAGTGCAAAATGTAGTTCCTATGTATTACATAATGCTGTTAACTCAATAGCTATTTTTATTTATTTTTGTTAGAAACTATACAATTACCTGACAAATAAATAAATAAAAAAATTACACAGATTAATTGACATTAATGCTTACAAAGGTTTGAGTCACATCCCTCCTGGACTGTTAACCTGGACTTGGATGGAGCACTTTGTTTTATGTTTTATAACTTTGAATCTCAAGTTAACATCAAGACTAACTGACATGTCCCAGACGGCTCACAAATACGATGTGCATAAAATTAAAGCATCTGTAATTTTATTGGCTTTACCTCTTGTATTTTCTTACTGGTGCTAAAAGCAAAGTAGACTCTCTGGTGCTTGTATCTGCTATCTTCCCCATCGCAAATGCATCGTGTAGCAAGCAGTATCTTTGTTCTCACCTCTCTCACAGCTCGGGAGGTCTCCACTCCAGGTGAGGTCCCACTGGCACATGAGCAGCTCGGCACCCACCACCTGATAACCTGGGTAGCACTGGTAGGTCACCACGGTGCCCTGAACCAGCTCAGGGTGAGATGTACTCTTCCAGCCATTAGAGATCTCAGGAAGCTCAGGGCAGGTGTCATTACGAGCCACTTCTACAGGAATGGAGGGGATGATCAGGGAGGAACAAAAAAATAAATAAAATCAAAGGAATACACCAGGCTCTGACTGCTCTAAGCTAACAAGTTCCCCAAATCAGGTTCTCCAAGTTCTTCCCCAAGTATCTGAAAACATCTACTACTGGAGGTTTCATAGGAAGTCTCTGCCCGATTGTCAGATTACCGATAAATATCTATACCTATAGAGGAAATACATATAAATATCATTTATATGTGCTGTTCTGATGGTGTGAAAAGGCAAGAAAGAAAGAAAGAAAGATAGAAAGAAAGAAAGATAGAAAGAAAGAAAGAAAGAAGGCACTATTTGTATCTGGATCAGATGAACAGCTAGATGTTTGACACTGTTCCTCTCACGGTTTTCGCAGTTCATCCGCTTTAGTCCAGAATCACATTGTTTAAGAGGTCCTTAATGGATAAAATGATCAGCTTTTGTGATAATTATTGGGAGCATAAAAAAACCCATGACTCCATGTATGCATAGTATATATTTTAATAGCTTGAAACCAAAGGATGTCTTCATTGGGCAATATTTTCCCAGCTATTTAAATGAGCTCTCCTGTTGGCAAACTGTAACGTTCCAGACCTGCTGGCTTTGCTCTGCTCATTCCCAGGCATGCAGCCGCAGGTTCAGGCTCTTGGCTTAGGAGTCAAAGTTGGACAAACACACCAAAGTAATTGCAACTGGGCACTAGACAAGCAAAATTATACGACACCTGCAAACGTTGCTGTCCTGTGTTTACATTCCACCAATGAGATTCATGAAGAGACTGCAATAAAAGCTTTCCCTCCCTTTATTCCACGTTGCCGATCATCTGTATTCTGCAGCCTTTCCTTCCCTCTGAATTCATTAGCTCTTATCAGATATAGGCTGTGGTGTGGTGCTGCACTGATGGAAAGTCCCAACACCAGGGACAGCCTCTTATTGCTTCCATTTTTAGGTCCCATCCCAGTAAAAACAAATTCTTTCATTTTGTCTAACTTCCCTTTTCACATCTTTCCTCTTCAATCTACCGCATTGTTACCTTTTTTCTTTAAACTTCTCTGCAGCTGGATATTAGTGTAGATTTCACCTTAGTTTTGTGACGTTACTATTTTTTTGGGTGTCTGATCCATCACAACAAAATTAGACTTTGCCTTTATTAGTTAATTAAGTGTTAACTGGAGGCATTAAGTGAAACAAGTCTTTTCGTGAGGCATTGGGACACCACATGCCACCAGAACAGCTTAAGTGCTTCTTGGCATTGGCATGATTCGCATAATTTTCATACTCATCAAACCATTTAGTGACCCCTAATGTCCTATTAACACAGGCATTGCTTTTCTGAAAGAGACCACTCCTGTAAGGATATATTAGACAGATAAAGGTAATCAGTCAAACAGCGAGCCTTCCATCTAAGTAGACCAGAGGACCCAAACCAGTAGTAAAATGCCCCCACTAGTGAGCTATTCTATTCTAAATCTGTATCTGCTTACCAAAAAAGTGAACTACAAAGCCATTGCCATAGCCGTAGACGTTGGTGGCAGGGTCAGACTGGAACTGGATGGTGATGTCTGCGGTAGAGGTGTAGAGCTTGAAGCGTGACTTCGATCCTCCATACTGACCCAGCACTTTGGCTGTAAGGTCATCTCCGTCATAGAAGGTCAACAGGTCATTCTTACCGACGTTCAACCTGAAACATAAGGCACACAAACAAAAAGTCTGTATTTAGTGTTTTACCTTTGTTGGTCATATTCAGGTTTCTCCAGCTACATTCTGTCTTGTGAATAGAATTCTGTCTGACCTCACCTTTTAAGTCTTTCTTGCGGGGAATGGCATGGTCACAAGCTACAGGTCAAACACAACCTCTGAACACATTCTTTACATGCAGAACATAATATTAATGGTACACTTCAGATTGTGTTCATGCATTTTTAAAATGACAGTAACTGGAGGGCCAGGACAATTCCAAGTCAAATCAAGGTTACATACTACTAAGAAAGACTCTTGCAACATTCATGCGAGCCGCACATAAAGGCCCCACCAAACGCTCGAGTGTTTTTTGTTCTCTGGTTTGTTGTCTTACAGTTTCTCTCAGCTATCCTTTTCTCTCCAGCCTTTACCGTCACCCCAGTGGTTTAAGGCAGAATCAGCCTGACTCTGCTTCAGATCTTATCCTGTTACTTTAAATGTTGCTCTCCTTACAGTGTGTAGTGGGTGTACTTGCATTTTTTTGAGTATTTTTAAAAACTAGTGGCTGATCAAGACATATTTTAACTGCTCTGTAGTGGAACAAACATATAACCAATGTTGTATATTGTTCTAAATCGATTACCTGCCTCACTACAATCATTACATATCACTATAGCTATTAATTATGAAGTAACTGATAACAGAAACTGAGCACAGTGGACATTTGTCCTTTGCTGATGCTTCAGATTTAAACAACGGACACGTTGTGGCCACAAAGGCAACCCTGTCTCTGTGATATGGAAAAGCTTGTCTAGTTGATCCCAGCATCTGGCCACATGCTCTGGCCATAGTCCATTAAGCGCCACAGAAGATCTGTCATGGTGCCTGTTGCTAGCTAAACCCCCACAATGCATTCTGCTCACCAACACAGCACTGCCTGTAATCTGAGTGGCTGCCTCCAATAAATAAAATTGGTAAAGATGCTAAATAAGTGACTTGGCTTGGGGACAAAGAAAACCTGATCAAGACATCAGTATAAGAAACATTAGTTTTGCTTTTACTTTTGAAGTATTTTTTGTCTCAAAAATTGATGTACATTTGAAGTGACAATTTGTACTAAGCAAAAACAACAGTTATATGATAAAGTCTAAATAAACCATGTGTGAAGGGAACAAAAGAAAGCTGCAGCAGAAAAAAAAAGCTGGTGTGTCTGCAGCTGTTGGAGGACAGAGCTCTGGAAAGACACACTCTCAGTTCTTGCTTGGAAAAGATTTACTTTATACTCTAAATGTGAATGTCATGGATGTACACTCAGTGTCCAGGGGTCAGGTGAAGTGACGGGGGCAATATGATCTGAGGTGGCCAAGCAGTTTGTCAACACAATGCATTACAGGGGTTCACTGTTAGCATTAGCAATTACAGCAAAACACTACATCTCTTCAAATAATTACTGATATAATACCAGCATCACAAATCATACAACACTAAATGTTAAAGTGCTCCCGTTGAAGCTTCCAGCTGTGAATTGCATGTTTGGTCAATTTTCTGCAGTTTTTGACAAACTGTGAGGATTGCACTGGGAAAGAGAGGCTGAGGGTTTTCTTCACATCCTGTGTTGAGAATGAATGTTAAGAGATACTGAGTCGAGAGCAAACTGTGAAGAACACAAGTCTCGCAGAATGACGTTAAGACAGGCATGTACAACAAGATATTCAATAATAGATGTGACTCCAGAGGGGACGCCTACCATGGGGCTGGTATATGTGCTGCTATTATGTGTGTTGGACAGTTGCAGTTGCTTTATATTGTTTGTCCATGTGTCCTCCGTGGTGATGTCTTATGTATAATTGATTGATTCTGCTTAGTATTACTGCTTAAGGTCGATGAACATCTGACATATTTTCTGGTTATTCATAGAGAGGCTGTTGAGTGCAGTGGCTGCAAAGGGCCGTCGATATAAAAGATATTGACAGTTGGTTTGGACGTCAGATCTTGGTTCAGTGCTCAATAGGAAACATCTGGGTGCAGTTTTCGAATATCATTTCCATTCCTGCTCATCTATCTCATCCAGCAAACTGAGCCAAAGAAGTAGAGCAATTACTGGTGCATCACTCCGCCATATAGTGGCCATTGTTGAAAACCGTACTATATTGGTATTTATATTTTTGTAGTTCAAGACTAGTGGGCCCAAGCAATCTTCTGCTATTATTTCTCGAGCGTTCACACAAACTAAAGTAAAACAGAAGCCCAGCCTCATTGTGACTTGAACATACTGGTGTGCAAGCAAAAGTACGGCAGGAACATCAGCTGGCCAGTTGACCGGTAAGTGAATAATGTATGCTATGCAGTGTGCCAGGACAGGTTTCAAGAGAAACTCTTCTTTCTGTGTTTACTGTCAGCTGGACTGAACATCAGCTGGCTTAAGGGGTAGTCCTCTGATTTATCATTTAATTTTCATGAAGTTTGGGGAGTTATGAGAGAAAGATTTTGGAACAGAATGGTCAAACTCAGTGCAGCAGAACTTTTAGTTCCCAGTTATGCTCCAATTTTTTTTTTGTATGCTGCCTTTCCGACTATGTGTCTCCATACCTTCAAACATGTCTTCGAACATTCATCTTTTTCCACTGCAATCACCATAGTCTATTAAAAAGGTTTTTTGCTAAAAGTGTTTACTGAAGCATTGCACTTAGGCATAATTTATGAAAAAAATATGCTATTTTTGTTCTTGGAAAAAAAGGTACGATTGCTTACCTTGCAGTATGCACTTTATAACACTGTAATGCACCTTGTCACTGCAATAGATCATTTAACTTCATATAATGGAGTTAAAATGATCTCCATCTTGGGTAACTACAACAGCAGAATGCAATTCCAGGACCATTTATCTACAAGTAAGTACTTTTATTTTGATATTATTCTGACTGGTGCGGTGTGTGTTCAACATGGGCTGCCTGCACGACCTCCCGCGTTGCTGCTTGCAGCTTTCTCAATATCATCGCAATTGTTCAGCCAAACTTTTTCTCACTCAACACTGACTGCATTTTGTCATCAAAACTTCAACATCAAAGCTCATATGAGCTGATGCCTTGTCAACTAACATCACTGAGAGAGAACCACATGAGTCTGTAAATGTAATATAATGTAATGAGGAACCTGACAATATTTAATTTTTTATTTAATTTGGCAAATAGTTCTTCCAATTAGTTGTAAAAGTAACAACTAGTTTATTGATTATTTCAAATATCACTTTTATTCCTCAAATATTATAGCACTTCCAGTTTCCACCTTTTTGTCAGATGCTTGATCAGAAAAATTCTGGACTTCAATCTTAAAACAAAACACAGATGAGAAAAGATAAAACTTTATTAATCCAAAGACAACTCTATAATTCTATGATTGTATGTCATTCCCACACCCTTCCCCTGAATTGGAGCATTAGAGTTTTTTTTGGAAGTACATTATTTAAAACAGAAAAAGCTTCTTATTACAGGAGTAATGTGAAGTTCTAATAATTACTGGCAAATGTAGTTTTGTATCAATGTGGGGAAAATAAAATAGTTGAAGCAATTTAGACTGTACCAACAGACTGTAACACTGGTTTGTGCCATTTTTTTCACTCATGGCTCTTAAAGTAAAGACACACACACACACACACACACACACACACACACACTGCAATATTTTTCTAACACAAATGATCTAAAATCCTTGTCCGCCTTGTGTAGTCTCTGAGCGAGCCCAAGCTGAGAAAACACTGCTGACATTGCCAGTTTTCTTTCTTCAGATTGTCATTACAGAACAGTTTGACAGGCTGAGCAGTTCTCTCCCTGGTGACCACGCTTAGCTTGATGTGTGAAATAAGCGTGTGTTCCTTTACAATACAAATTTTGTTAAATGGACAATTTTTGGAAAGCTCCTAGAGGAACACTGTCACTATTAATGCTATTCTTACCTGGAGCCCTAATCTGTAAAACCGAGGTATTAAAAAGAACATTGTGACAAGCATCCAGGAAGGACAGCTATATAACAATCATACCCACGTTGAAAAAAAAAACACAATTTCCCTCTAATATTTACAGCGTATTCAAAAATCTGTGAGACGCAGCCTAACGAGGAGCACAAGAATCTTGATGTTATTAGTGATCAGTATAGACATCTCCCTCTATGAGATGAGTAAGTCAGTGTCATGTTGAATAACCAGACTCACTGTCACAGCTTAACTGGCGAAGGGCCATGTATTTGTGCTGATTTGACCACAGCCTACAAAGCCTGAGCTCTTACAAACCTCAGGGCTGTTTGAAAATGTCACCTGGGGCTGAGCTATCTCTTTGTACAGACAAGATTTAGAGCATGGAAGAAATGGCTTAGCCAGAATAAAGCAGTGACATGCTTTTTGCTGTCGCTAATTAATCACCAGCGGCTCCTGATAAAACTCATTAGCCAGCCTGAGATTGAGCTATTAATCACTATGGGAATGCTGGAAAATCAAAGGTTCAAGAGGCGTGGAATGAATCGACACATGGCAAAGCCTGACAAAAGATGAAATGTTTATTTTTGATACTTTTTTTTCTTTTTCAAAAACTGAAGAAAAAAAATGATAAGATGGAAATGATAAGAATAGAGTGAGTTTGTGAGGAGATGAAAATTGGGGTGGGGAGTGTTTGCTTTTCCACAGGCGGAACCATTTGTCTTCTGTCAGCTGAAGATATGTTTAGCCACACACACACAATAACACTTGTGTTCCTATACTTGTAGGGACTTAAGACTAAACAAATGTATTCCTGAACCCTAATTGGAACCCCATGATCTGAACATAACCTGAAGACCCAGTATTTATTATGTCTCATGGGGAACTTGATTGTTTAGGATTGTGACTGACACACATTTGGTCCTGCCTCAGCAGTAAAAGCATTTTTCTTTTTTTTTTTTATGTCTGACAGGAAAGGCAGCTGCAAAGCTGTCCTCAGGTGCTGACAGCAGGTGTGAAATGATACATTAAGC